AAGTTGTCTGTATAACAAAGATGTGGATGCACACCAATCTGTACAAGGAATAGGTTTCTTCGGAAAAGCAGAAGACCCAATAATTATTCCTCAATCCTAAATTCCTTGAACAGACAACGGGTTGTTCTTTTCCGATCTATCTAAGTAGGAGAGATGCAGTATAGGAAGCACTTTTGTCTCTCCCTGCGCAATCACAAACTCAAAGGCTCGCTAACAACGGGTCAACCGAAAACGTCCCAGTATATGCCTAGTCTTTATATCCTCATTTCCAATGAAATGCCATGTATTTGATTTGACATTTACAAATTAGATTTAGCACGCCCAAGTCATCCACCTCATTTCAACCTTATTAGTCTCTCTGGCATCATAAACCACCTATACACCCTCTCAAACACGAAACTATTGCATCCCTCTCATCTAAGATAATCTCATCTTTAACCAGATCCCTACTCCCTCCATCGATCGGACAAGCACCCCTCTTTCCATAGTAGGTATTATCATGAAGCTAGACCAATGCTCTCTTGTTCTCAATCACATCCCTTCATTCTCTCTCGAGTAACATTTTCATGAACAGAACTAAATATCCAATGCAATTCTGTGGTTGTGCTGAGGAATATTTAGGAGGAGAGAAGATAGAAGCTGGAACGGTAATCCTTCATAGGATTTCTGGCTTTTATTGTTTTCACTTTGACATTTTTCTTGTCAAACTTTCATCTCTACCTAATGTGGATGTCGCCTGCCTTAGCCTAGCTCAGCTGCAAGCTATCTATCCTACATCCATAGGTATCCCGAACATCAGATATATGAAGAGGATTAGATAGTGAAATGGTATCTCCCTACATCTCATAAGTATGGCCAGCACTTAAGTACCATAATCCTTCTCTCCTACTTTTCGCTTTTTGTTCGCAACTTCAATAGTGCCCTTTCTTTTCTTCTCCAAAACAACCTTCATAATCTCCTCCAAGTTATCCACCGCCTCATTCCCGATCTGATAATGCACCACCAATCGACCACCATAAAGTTTCAAGCCTTTCTCCTCTCCCAATTCTCTGAATTCGTCCGCCGAAACACCTGCATCTGCCAAATCCAGCCACACCATGTTAGTTTCGGTTGGTTGCTGCAACTTTCCACCCAACCCTTCCCACAAGGCCGCGATTCTTTTGGCTGTCTTATGACTTTCGCGCAAGAGACCCCCTTCTCCATTTGGACCCTTTCCAAATGTTTCATCGACCGCAACTCTCGCAGCCGCGGTCAAAACACCAGCTTGACGGAGCCCTCCTCCAATACTTTTCCGAACCCATCTAGCATGCTTGATGAAATCTTTCTTGCCCACTAACATACTTCCGACTGGTGCGCCTAATCCCTTACTAAAACACAAACTAACACTATCACATTCCTTTGTGAAATCTGTCAGTGATCCCGCTCCAGCAACAACAGCTTCCCAAAGTCTAGCTCCGTCCATATGTAATTTGATGCCATGCTTCCTGGCAAATTCTGAAATAGCCCTGACCTCCTCGAGTGGCATGATGGTTCCACCTAATGTATTCTCCAAACTAATAACCCTTGTCGGACATGTGTGTATGTCATCACTAATAGTAACAGATTTCTCTATATCCTTCAAAGTCAAGTAAATGCCATTGCTAGGCACCACTCCCTTCACAAGAGCCCCGCACAAAGATGCAGTACCGCCGGCTTCCCACTCGAGAATGTGGGCTCGATGATCGCAGAGTACAGAGTAGGGAGGTTGAACAAGGTGAGAACGGAGAGCAATTTGGTTGCCCATAGTACCGGAGAGAACAAAAATGGCAGACTCATGCTCAGTAATCTCTGCAAGATAAGATTCAAGCGAATTGGTTGTTGGGTCTTCAGCGAAGACATCATCAAAGAGGGTAGTGTTTTGGATCGCTGTAAGCATGGATTTGGTTGGAGTAGTCATTACATCGCCTGCAAAAGATGTCAGTAAATTTTTGGGTAGAGTGAGTGAAGCTCTTACTGCGGAAATCAAATGCTGCTCGTCCTGGACCAGACCAAGCATTGATTTCATGATGAGGCTCTTGAGTTGGTGGTAGATCTGTGGATCCACCTAGACCTTTCAGATCATCCGTTCCCAATTCCTTTTCTTTGGTTGCCATACTGAAGAGAGCGATTCTGGATCGAGTGTTAAGAATTGGCGCGGGGTGAGGAAAGAGGTTTGCGAGGGGTCGTATGTTGTCTTTGATGGATCTTAGCAACTGATGTTTTTCAAAAAAGATTGTAAGACTTGCTTATTGAAGAGCAAATTGCAGGTTGTAAGGTCCTAAAATACCTTACTACTCTCCCGGGTGAATGCATCTTTTGATTGAGCGGGGTTCTTTTGAACTACACCCTTCAATTCACTTACTGAAAGCTTTACACATTCAAACCTCAAAAGGGAAGTTGCTTCCAGTTTTGATAAGATCTGAGATAAGCCTCTTATCTTCATGTGACTGAATTAACCTGCAGATGCAGGCAGGCCATGGGAATTGGTGGTCCATAGGAATTTCATGAGGACATGAAAGCAATCATCCGAGACTCAGATATGCAACAAAATGACAGTGATATATGACCAGTCGAGAAACACAGCATTTTGTATGGGTCTTTTGAGGCAAGATCATAGGTTAATAAATATGATCCTTAGTGAGACATTCACTATGAATGATCCTCCTACAGTCAAATATTGACTGTTCATATGTGACGCAAAGCTTACACCAAGTATCCACTAACTTCAAGAAACGGTGGGATGAATTGTTGTACGGGAATTGATTAGTTGCCTTCATATATTATCATCAAGAGTGGAAATCTATAGCCCTGTAAGTTGGCGTGAGTTTTTTACTTTAATGACCGTAGTATCTTTTGCAGATTGATCTTCTGGTCGAGAATTCTGTGGACGATACTCTCATGCCTCAAATCTCGTTGGTAAGTTACGCAAATCAGGTGGAGGGGCAGAGTGGAAAAGAGAGGTTGCTGTATTTCGAGCTTTGATTAAGTTGTTACGCGATAGACTTCGTCGAATTTCTAATATTCTCTCGATGAATCAACAATCTTTAGTGCTTCACTCAGCGTACCACTTAGTTGTAAGGCTTAAAGTGCTTGCAAGTCGCAAAGGCAACGGAGCGAAGTATTGGACCAGATATTGAGATCATTCTCCATCAGTGCTTCACATCTTGCGCGTCGCTACTTCGAATTGAATTTCAAAGAAAATTGTAAATTCACAAGCCATAACACCAGCGTCTGTGATTGATATAGTTGATTAGTAGAATATTGGATTGGATTTTGGTTTTCACGGCCTATCTCTGTGATCCGTCCAGATGACATATTTCATCCATAACTCCAATAAATGCCACCTGGCGAAGCTCCCTAAAACCCCAACTCCATATCGCTCAAATGCATGATGAAAACTCTCAGTCGTATACGCACACCCTCTTATTTGAACAGCCTTTTCCCCCTGACTCTAGAACCAAATCTCTCAACCCCACTGTGCTGTTGCAATTGCCATAGATTCAGCTGTCCAGCCAATCCATCTTCATTGCCCTCTCTCAGCCTTCTCAATGCCTCCCTCAAATGATCTGGCTGCAAAGGTGCTCTTCTCGTTTCCTTGGGTACGTTTATTTGGCTGGCATTAACTTGCCCATTCTCCATATTCGTGTTCTCTGCTGGGGGCACGATCAATCCAGAATTTGGTTCTCCAGCTTCGATCCATTGGTCCTGTACCTTTCTTGCATTCTCAACCAACTCTCCAACAAACTGTTTAGCCACACTCTTGACCGCTAAAATGACAGTGCCCGGTACACTTTGCGACAAAGTCTGATTGACGATTCTCCTAACGGTGGCATCAGGAAACTTTACGGCTCGCATAGCGGTATAACGTTCGAATTGTTCTGGATCCAAATGGTTTGCCAATAAAGCTCTTCGTTGAATGTCCCTCTGCTTTTCTTCTATACTAGAAGTCATCGATGTCATTGTTTGATCCACATTATTGTCATCTTCTTCCTCTTCTTCGATATTGCCGTTGGATGTTCGTCGTTTCTTTGAGGCAGGTCCATCGGATTTCCCCACGCCTACATTGGATCCCTCAAAATCACTCTTTCCACCCTTCGATTTCTTTGCGCGTTTTCTTTTTGATTGGCCACCTGCAACACTTCCACTGACAAGAGACATAGTATCAACACTTGGTGATCGTTCATAGCCAGGTGTGTAAACAGCGGATTCGGGAGGGAATGAAGTTTGGCGCAGAGGATGCGCAGAGTGCGTTGAGGTAGTAGATATCATACTTGCTTTCCGACGTTTTATCGATATGACTTCGGAAGCTCGACGTGTGTGCGATGTCGTAGTTGTAGATAGCGGCAATGGGCTAGAAGGTATTGTGAGGGAAAGGGAATTGTGAGGAAAATCTGTCGGTGCTGGTGGAGACGCCATATTGACCGGCGCACTTGATTCTGGAGCTAATAATCAGTGCTCAATTGATAAGTCGTGAATAGCCGTAGGAACTGAAGCTCTTATCGGCGCCGTAAATTTGACAAGTCCTGCTTGTTATGCGCAGGAAAATAGTTGGAGTTGTGTAGATTTTCGTGAAAGTATATGATTTCTTTCGAGAATAGAAATATTATAAACGTCGGGTAGGTAGGTATTAATAAGAGTGAGACCTGATTACTACCTAGTAGGTATCTAATAAGACATTTCCGTTGTTCCTTTTAGTAAGATTGATGAGGTAGCATTTCAATTCACGCAAGGCTGAAAATGAAACCCCTACCTATCGTACACAGCTGGAGGTATCTGTGCTGCATCAGAAATTACTAGATAGTGATTAGCGTCACCTTAGATAGCCAATCGAGCCTATCTCGGAGAACAATACCTAATCTCTCAAGGGTAAATTTTCTTTGATTACAATCAACCCCCATTTACACATATTATTATTGCCTTTTTTTTCCGCCTTGTCAAATACAATAAAGCACATTGCTCCATTCAATTCCTGCTATTTCGCAATGGTACAATTCTCCAATCTAGAGGGGAACAAGGAGGAAACAGAGAAGGAGAATAAAGAATTCAATGGCGCAAGTTCCAAACGCAAATTGGAAAATCCTGGGGAAGGCGGGGAAATAAGCAAGAAGAAGAAGAAGAAGTCAAAGGCCAATGGTCATGGACATAGAAGACACAGCGTCAGCACCAAACCTGCCCGAGATCCAAGAGATGAGGCCGTTACAGATACTCCAGAAGAAACTCCAATTGAAGTTTCGAGAAGTCCAAGTCCAGTCATCGATTTTGATGGCTTGAGCCGTCCGAGTATGTCGTCATCTTTTGATTTATGTCATTTCATGTCATCAAATGGCGGGAACATCGGTTTTATCTCACTCAGAAAGCTAACTTCATTTCAGGTAAAGGCGCACGAGAACGTCTTGATGAATCCCCAGAACAAGCAGCCATTCGAATGACAAAATTGACCGGCGCAGTTCGCACAATTCTCGAATGCATTGGTGAAGATCCGGATCGGGAAGGTCTTTTGGCCACACCAGAACGTTATGCGAAAGCAATGCTGTATCTCACAAAAGGATATCAAGAAAATGTTAGGGATATTGTCAATGATGCAATTTTCCACGAGGATCATAATGAATTGGTCATTGTTAAAGATATCGAGGTCTTCAGTATGTGCGAACATCACATGGTTCCATTTACAGGAAAGGTATGTTTACTCTTGGCAAATTGCTCGAGGCGATGGAAGCTGATTCTTACGAAATATAGATGCACATTGGCTATATTCCGGATCGAAATGTTATCGGTATCTCGAAGTTGCCCCGAATTGCAGACATGTTCTCACGCAGACTACAAATCCAAGAGAGACTTACAAAAGACGTTGCGCATGCTGTGATGGAAATTCTCAAACCACAAGGTGTGGCAGTTGTTATGGAATCGAGCCATTTGTGTATGGTTATGCGCGGAGTTGAGAAAACGAGTGCTTCGACCATTACAAGTTGTGTTTTGGGCTGCATAGAGAAGAGAGAGAAGACTAGAAATGAGTTTTTCAGTTTGGTGGGTTTGAATAGACGATAGATAGACGAGAAGGGGCGGCACGTTCATTTGCATTTGCATAACTAGGCGTTTGGGAAAGAGGTACAGTGGTCTTCAACACCATCATGGGAGGGCGTTCATTCTTTGGTCTTAACGCCATTTACGTCTATTCTGGACATTTATCTATCCTAGGTCTTTGACCTTCAATTTAAGAAATACAAGTCGGAAGGGAACCTACACTGGCAATTTACCAGTATGTTCTTTCAAATGCTTCTCTTCACTGTCTACATTTATTGCTTTTAATACGAATCTATTCGTTCCATCATTTGTTACTTGTTCTCCGCTTTTTTGTCTTCATCATCGAACAACACCTAGCTCTCCAACCTTCCCTTTTTCTATCTGTTCTACCAAACCCTTCACGGCATCCCAAATCTTCTCCGCAACCTCATCTAGCCCATTACCTGCATCGATTGCCTTCATTATGCGTCGCTCATGCTCGAATCCTGGAAGCTCTGAATCTTGCAATGTCAAGAATCCATTCCTGACTCTTCTTTGCATTTCTCTCGTTTCGTACTTCTCGTCTCCGTACCCGCCTCGCTTTTCCGCTTCTTCGGGCTCTAGATCCAAAAAGATCACTCTATCTGGCATCGGCAGTCCTATTTCAGGATTTTTGCACCATTCAAGGGAAAGATGATTTGGAGAATCGATTGAATATTTGGAGGATGTGTAAATCATTCCGGAATAGTAATAACGATCGCAAACGATTGTGTACCCTTGAGCAATCAAATCTCGAATTTCTTGGGCTTTCTCCCATCGGTTTGCCGAGAAAAGAAGATGTATTGACTGATCTGGGAGAGTAGTGGAGGATTGTAGGTAGGAATTTATCTGTTGACCAATTGAGGTTGTTCTGTCTTAAATTATGAGCTTGGAGGTTTCCCTTTGATCAGGAGGGTGATGATCAAGGAATGAATTGCTGGAGGTGTAAATTATTGATATAGTACATACCAGGAAATCGCATAAGCTTGACATTTCGTCCAGAGGCGTATAGTTTATCACATAACTTCTTTACTTGGGTCGTTTTCCCAGCTCGGTCGAGCCCTTCGATCAATATGAATGAGCCGCGGGAGATTGGGATTGCAGACTCGCGATATGGATAGGGATCCATGTTAGTAGTTGTCATATTGCAGGATATGTACCAAAAAAAAAAAGTGAAATGCAGATTTTAGAAAGATTAATCAATTTAATGGATGGGTGAGGACAGGGACAGCGGGGGTACGTGTTGCACGACGCGACCTGGGGAGCGATGTGGGGGTGTATCTTTTCCGCAAATATACCCTTCCTTCTCTCTATCTTGGAATAAAATCAAATAAAAACCTACCGAAGAACAGTTCCGACTTTGATGCAACCTAAGTAAGATATTGCAAATTATTGGTGCAATGAGGTGAAGTGAATGATTACAAGGAATAAGTAAAATCGATTGGATACGCAGTAGCCTCGCGAAAGAGGTCAGCCTTGCATTCTAGCTCCGACAATCTATTCGAACGACAAGTACCTATCAAAGAATATTCCACGAGCCGTATCAACGAATGCGCCGACCACAATAATTATTTGTACAGATGTTAGCATCTCAACTGCCTTCCGGTTTATTCTCCATATGCTTTGCAGCTACATCCTTCCAGCTATAGGTACCCATTGTTCTACCACCAGTCCCAGTAAATCCATCATTACATAAAAGTCGGCGTCCAACCCCCCTCTTCCACAAAAGCTCCAAAATTCATTCGGTCGATATGGCGGATCCTAAGTTAGTATGGAACCCGGACAACGTTCGCGATGCTGCGGAATCTGTCGGCATCTCACAATTGGGCGAAGAGGCAGTGAGGGCATTGTCGCAAGAAGTTGAATACCGAGTCGGCCAGGTCATTGTCGAAGCAATGCGATTTATGCATCAAGGAAAAAGAACAGTATTGGGCACACAGGATATTTCACAAGCGCTCAAAGTATTGGACGTCGAGCCCCTTTATGGTTACGAGTCTACAAGACCATTGAGATTTGGAGAGGCAAGCTTAGGTCCTGGCCAACCGCTCTTTTATATTGAGGATGAGGAAGTAGACTTTGAGAAACTGATTAATGCGCCTTTACCAAAGGTTCCCAGAGATATGTCATTTACTGGTAAGAAAATTTGGAAAGTTTAGGTATGGCATGATGCTAATGAAAACAGCACATTGGCTTGCGGTTGAAGGCGTTCAACCATCAATTCCACAAAATCCCACAACAGCAGAAGCTCGTGCAAATGACCTCGTGCCTAAAGGTCCTGGTGCGAATCCGAACCTTGGAGCTCTGGCTGGTAACGATAATGTTTCGGTCAAGCCTTTAGTCAAACATATTGTGTCGAAAGAATTAATACTTTTCTTCGACAAGATACGCGAAGCTATTCTTGATGATGACGACGATCCAGAAGTCGTAACGTTACGAGAATCCGCGTTGGAAAGTGTGAAATCGGATCCAGGTCTTCAACAACTGGTTCCATATTTTGTTCATTTCATTGCCGAGAAGGTCACTCATTCTTTGAGCAATCTTTTCGTGTTACAAACAATGTTGAAATTGGCTCATGCCCTTATATCAAACACAACCCTATTTGTCAATCCTTACATATCAAGTCTTTGCCCACCTATTCTTACATGTCTCGTCGGCCGTAAACTTGGCACCGGGACTCCAGAGGAGTTGAAAGAAAAATATCAATTGCGAGACACGGCCGCATCTCTCATTGGAATCATCTCCAAAAATTACACGGAATCAAATGCACAGCTTAGAGCGAGGTTAGCAAGATCGTGTCTAAAATTCTTTCTAGATCCAACACGCTCTCCAGGAGAATATTATGGAGCTATCAGTGGGCTTTTAGCAATTGGTGGCCCCGATGGTGTTAGAGCTCTTATTCTACCAAACTTGGGTGCATTCGATTATGTGCTGAACAAGTTGAGAACTGACAGGACTGGCGATGATAAGGAGATACAGATGTTAGTCGCGGTAATCATGAAAGCGGTGATGAGCCTCTCTGAAAAAACTGAAACACTTACGAATGGTACAAATGGTACAAATGGCAATGGAATGAATGGGATGATGGATTTAGATGACGACGAAGGAAAACAGCTTGAAGAGTTTCTAGGACCTACTATCGGGAAAAGGGTACGGAATGCGGGGGATCATAAATTGAACAAGGCAATTTTGGAAGCGAGAGAAAAGAACTAAAGACGTTGTAATATACCTAAGTATGGAGCTGCATTTCGCATCATCGGCGTTTTAGGGTGTGTCTGGAAGGCATGAACTGGGCTGGGAATCGATATACAAGTGGATACATTCACTTCAATAAGTAGTTTATCATATGAGTTCTTGCATTTGAAAAAAAATTGTATTAAAATTGTATTTGAATTGGGAAACAACAATTTGCGGGGAATCGAATAGTCTGAACTGCAGTCCAGCAATGGAAGGGAAGTGCTGTGACTAGATTACAGGCCCCATACCTGAACACATGAATAAAACTAATTAAAAATCGGCCCCAAACCACTGGAAGAAATAAATTTACTCTCCTCCTCATTAACAACATCATCTATACATCTTCATGCTCATTAGCACATTCTCTCCTGCTCGCTCAAGCTGGAATGGCATATAAAGTGGGAAGATAATTATTCGTTTGCAACTTATCAGCAAGTACCAATCTACTCGAATCGCCAACTTGGAAGACGGGGCGCGGAGCAGACGTCCCTCCAATACACGATAGAGGATACCCACCAACTAATGCATCATACGTGCCCAGTATACATTGTATCAGTGGGAATTTTGCGGCATCGCTAAGTGTGTCCATGAAAATGTATGAGGGGGCGCCAGAGCCGGCGCCGTCGGTATCGGCGACCCGGGTTTTGTCTGATGAGGAGAGGAATTGGCTGTCGAGATGGAATTTGGCTGCGGAGCTTGCGGTGATGGGAGATACTGTGAGGATCTTCAGACCAAAATAGTCTTCGTAAGTTACGTATTGGGATTTTTTCGGATCCAGAGGCAATGACGAAGGATGGGGTAGCACTAGCCGTAGTGGTGGTGGTAAAGGTGGTGGTGGTTGAAGTGGTTGTCGAGACGTAGTCAGTTACGTAAACGGTAACCGCAATAGTTGGTTTGGTAGCCTGTGCAGAGCATGCTGATGAGATAACAGTGCCAGGGTATTTGGTAAGTCCAGCTGGCGTAGCAGCAACTGAGCGCTTTGCTGGAGTGAAGGTGCTATTGGCAATCATGGAAGGAATCAGAGGAGTGCCGTTCACTAGATGCACTGCGATGTCGCTTCTTTTCGGAAGAGGATTATTGGCTACAGTAGCAGTAGCTTGGGAGACCACAGTCGATGTAAATGTCGAGGTTATGGTAGTTGATGCTGTAACAGTATTAGTTGCAAAACCGAGCAAGGTGCTGCAATAAGGTTGGAGAGATGAGTAGGAGATCTCGACCGATGCTTGAGCAACAGCGCATGTCTTATCTCCAGCTGTCAATCCTGGGTTGGTTGCGTTGGTGTAGGTATATGACAGCCCAATGAGATAATGATCAGATCCACGGTATTGTCCGACGTTGGTTGCGTAGCTAGAATCCCATGCCTCGGAGTAGATGGCACAGTATTGTCCTTGTGTATGAGAAAGATCGTTGACATAAAGGAGATAAGTATTGAAGAATTGGCAGGTCTTAGCTGGACTTCCATCAGATGGAGGGTGCTCAAGGTTGTATTTCGATTGTGCGCTACAGTAAGCGGCACAGAGAGATGCATCGAAGGGACCGGTAGAGAAGATTGTTGACCCCATGTACGTATTGCATCTAATGAAAATATTAGCGACAATTACGAGAATTGTAGAAGAAATATTTCATCTTATTACTAACCCTTCTAAATCATATGGCGCATTAATAGCAGCATTCCCTAGATATTGTGCATTTCCATAGCCGGGGATAGGAGCAATGCTGTTATTCGTATAACCATTGGATCCAGCAATCACGACTTGAAAGTTATCTCTGTATTGTCCAGAGTTTACGGCATTTTCGGTAGAAACTGGGCCACCCCAGAACACACATTTGATCATTGTAACACTTGGAGGATCCTCGCATGCTGCTCCAGGTTCGACACTTGGATCACGCTCAAAGTCTACATGCATGTTAGTACGTGACTGCAATAACTCTTTCGGTATTCTTTCGAACTGGATATCTAAACTCACAAAGATTGAAGGCCATACATCCGTTGATGGCGGAACACTTCGATGCACACAATTCTGAATCATAAGTTTCAAGAGTAGTAAACCCCATATATCCATAGGCACTACACAACTATTAGATTGTATTTCGGGTATGATGAGTTCTAATACTTACTTGTTGGATGCCTTAAGGTTCTGGAAAGATTGCGTGTATCCAGCTGGAGTAGAAGCAGCGGAAGCAGCATCAGAGAATCCAGGATTGGCTAAAAAATCAGATGGAGAATCAGAAGCGTATGCAGGAGCTCCAGTGGCACCGGCTGGCTGAGCTTGACATGCTGTTCTCTTAACCTTGGGGGCATTGGAAGCATCGCTAATTGCTACAGATTGAGATGCAACAGCTTGAGTGGCAGCGATGATAGCGGTCGAAGCATCGTAGGCGATAGATTGAGCAGTTACGCCAACAGGAGGGCCAGTAGTGACTGGATCAGGAGCCGCTTCGACCATAGCGAAATCGATGTCTTGGGGGACTGGAGTTGCAAAAGTCATACCCATTAGGGCAGCAACTGTTATCAAAGAAGACCGCATATTGAATTGAAAGAAGAGTTGATGAATGATCCAGAGAATATGCATGAAAAGATATATTTTGGGAAAGAATTGGGTGGGTGAAGCATCAATATATAAAAATTTCCTGCTTGTTGTGATAGATAGCAATCGGCCATGCGTCTCTCGCCAATCTCAAAATTCTTTCACCTTCCTGCCGCCCAGGCTTAATGCTATCATCCATTTCCCCTCAAAACATGTCAATAATCAGAAATAAACTTCAGCAGTAACGTGCGGGTGGACACAAATCATAGAATAGGCGACCCGATGAATTTCCCGGAAATTCAACAACTTGAATGTGGAAATGATTGAAGCCCATATCGCAAACATCCTCCTCCAATTGAAGCTTTTCATCGTCAAATTGGCCAGGCGTCGTATACCTGATAGAGGATGATTTGACGAGTGGCTTTATCTTAGTCTGCTTTACTACTGCACGTGTAGTTCATTACACTTCAAGACTTGAAAAACTCAATTGCGATTTATGTCTGTCAAGCTAGAACTAAGTGTCTGAATCTGGGAACATACTACAAAGGCTACACTAGGAGCCCGTGGGTATGATCGAGCGTGCACTGACAAGGCGGATGGATGGGAATTTTGCAGACAAAAGTTCAAGGAAGTGATGTGGGTGGGCTAAAATACTATCCAAGCTACTCGTATAGTGAAAATAGAAACAAGCGATTCCGCTTCCCAAAAAGGAAAGGAGCTTTACCGGGAAAGCGGGGTAGAATAAAATCTGTACTATAATGGCGGAGGCACACTAGCACGCTACTAGACTTAGGTCCTAGATGCCACTGTCAGTGATAAGAGAGGCATATCGGTATCTTGCGTTAACCGTCAATTTTGACAGACGCAAAGTTTCATATGACTGGAGCGTGGAACTGTGAAGAAATCCCCACTGAAGCAATCGTCAATGCACTTCCTGAACTTGGTAAGGCTAGCACGCTTCCTGTCCTCCTATCGAGACTGGCTCGACTGGGCAACAAATCAATAGTCTTATTTTCGATAGCAAATGGTAGTGGAAACGGCAGCGGCTTGCCAAGAGAATAATTGCAACTCAACCACGTGAAGATAAGTTCGCATGGTCCCCTCACTTGGACCTAGTGAGTTAGATCACTTTACCCCTGAGCGTTCCTGGCTAACAATCATAAATAATAGACGGCTCTCGTTAGTAGCCGACTAGAAAATATCAGACTTGCAGTACAGAGTATGTTTCTAGAGAAGAGATTTTGCAAAAGGGTGACGGATCACCCCTTGAGCAATGAATCTGATGGGTTCGTGGAATATACCACATAAGCAATGATATTATCACGTTTTTCCATGGCAATCAAGAGGATCACCACCTCTTATGTAGAATGCGGGGAATAGGCATCTGAATAATCTGTGGTATACGCATCACAATGACTTTTTACAAATCTTCTCATTATAGACCTCTCTCTTCTGGCACTATTATTTTTTCCATGCAAATATCAAGACTATAACAGATAGCACCGATTCAACATCCCACAAAAGAATGAATACCGCCACCTGTCGAATAGAGTGTATAAAAATACAATGATCCAATTGATCAACATAAGCGAAGATTCTCCCCCATTTTAAGCAACATCCAAAAGCAGCGCCACCGTAAGCCTGACGCCTCAAGCTTCCAAACACCACATCATCAACAACCACCTGCAATCCATCCATCTCATCCAAGGAAATATCCTAACAAATACCAAAATCTCAATGCCTCTCTGTCCCCAATGTAACGCGATCGATCTCACAGACTCGCATGCCGATATCCTACTCGGTTCATACGATTCCCTGCTCGAGAAAAGTCGTCTGATGATTGATCCTACTCCTACTCCTACTTCTTCTTCAAGTCATTGTGAATCATGTCTCTATTTCACAACTATTCTCCATCATTCATCTCGCTACGCGAATTTGCGAGCGGAATTGGGAGATAAGATTATTTTTCTGTATATGCATTGTTTGGATGTGAGGGATGTGGAGAGACTGGATAGGAAGGGGTGGGGGAGTATAGATTTGCGGTTTGATGTTTGTGCGAGAGCAGGTTATGAGGGGGGGTTGGGGGGAGGACGGTTGGATAATGAGTAGGAGAAGGGATTACCTGTTGATCGGGTGAAGAATGTTCCGGTGAATCTGGATGCTGAAAATGGGCTTGAGGGGGTTGGGAATTGGATGAGGGATTGTGGGATGGATCATGAGATTTGTCGGGCTGGACGGCGTGTGGAGGGTTTACCTCAGAGACTCGTTAGGATATCAAGTGATGCTGAAGAAGCTCCGGTGCTTCTCGAGACTTCTGGGTTAGCATCTATAGATTATCTCGCATTGAGCGCTCGTTTGTTTGTGGGAACGGAGGACACCAGGAAGGATCCTACGCTGGAAAATCTCTCTATCTTAGAAACAACGGGAAAGTCCTTAGATACCAGTTCCTTTCCTAAAGCCTTTACAGATGCATTCACCATTACCCGACGTCTAGGATTTGAATACATCTACATCGCCCCTCTCTGTCACGTGTCAGACGATCCCCTCGATCTTATATCAATCTTCGCACAAGCAACTCTCCTTCTTTCCGCTGATAACGTAAGTTCTCCCACAGATGGATTAATCCAAGATCGAGCAGTTTTCAATTCTCCTCCCCTTGGTACCAACAAAGACCGTTATCTCCGTCTAAGCTGTCTTCGCAATCACGCCGATCTCGGTTCCTCTCCTCTTTCAACATCAGGCTGGGCATTTATTGAACGGGTCCTCGCTCCGAGAGTGTTGCATTTCACTAAACGTCAGTTAATTTGGGAGTGTGCTGATGGATGGAAATTCGAAGCGTCGAATGTGGAAGATACGCAATATGGGAGTGGGATGATCAGAGGAACGTATCAGAAAAAACTGACGCAGCCTTACATCAAGGAATATCTTTCTCGAGAAGCTGGAAATGTCTCAAACCCCAGTATACAAGATACCACTCAGACATCAAATCTCAACGACTATGCACAGAGATTAGAAGTCTGGTACCAACTCATCGACACCATCTCCCGCACCACCTTTCCCTCTCAACTCGCTAAATCCAACGCCCTCTCGCTCATCACAAAAATCATGGATAACAACACATTCGGCACAAACCTCTCTGGAATCTTCACCACAAATATCGCATACGGACTTGCATGGAGCCGCGTAAACGCACTGCTAACGCCAAATCGTGACGCCCATGCCCCAAGCTGGAGTTGGGAGAGTGTACAGGGATCGATTTCCCACATGTACACGAGCTATCCCCCTTCCATCCTACATATACGCTCTACCCACGCATCCTGGATAGATAAACACATCCCGCATCTTCTTTCCCACGATTCCCATTCCTCGTCCACCCATCCATCCTCTTCCCTCCCCGTCTCCCATCCCCATCCCACGTCTCCCTCTCTCGAATGCAAAGCGTCCCTCACCAGCATCCTCCACCTATGCGCGCACTTCGCGCCCCACTTCCCAAAATACACAATCCATCTCGTGCTCGACCAATCCCCCATCTTCGACTGTTCATGCTGCGGTCCCCGAAGCGACGCGCGGCAAGAATCCGGAATGCAGGAATTGGAAGAGAGGAAGCTTCATTACTTCGCGATGTATGTAGTGGGCGATCTGGATGTGGAAGCGGGAGAGGCGGATCCGTGGAAAGTGGGTAGGTGTGCGGATATGCTGGTTTTGAGAATGCTGGATGCGAGGGGGGAGATGGGCAGGGCTGGTGGAGATGGAGATGGAGATGAAGGGGTTGCTGCACAGAGAGAAAAGATTAGGGGGGGTGGTGGAGTGGCTTTGTATGAGAGAGTAGGATTGGTGAGATTGAGTTTTGCGAGTTATGAGAAGAATGCTGAGGATGAAGCGTCCATACAGGAGAAATTCGATGGGGTGGGATGGGATAGGAAAACTATCAGGTTGGTTTGAAAGACGTTAGATTTTCCTGAGATGCAGGAATACGTCATATGATACATATCACTTCAATTTAATCTTCTACCCCTTCCTACTCCAATCCAAAATACGAACAAGTCAACTTAAATCCCCCCCTTAACATAATAATCCACCGGATACCCCAACCAATCACACTGATCCAAATCCGCAAAATCCTCCACCTTCCCCGGCCAATCAATCACCATCATACTCCCCTTCTCCCCACCCACACCGACCTCCTTCCACTTCCCACCCCCTTCACCCCCTTCTGCACAGTCGCATACCCTCTACTCTCCAAGAACCCCTCATCAGGATTCGGATTCCCGGTCCTCACAAACGCCCCAAAATACGCCACACTCAACTGCACACTCCACCAATCCTCCTGATCTCTAAACGCCAACCCCGTATTAAACGCGCCAAACACCCACGGCATATCCGCGCCATGAAATCGAAAATACGGCAAATGCGGATTCCCATCCGGATACCCCGGCGAAGACGGCGGTCCCCCGAGTCCATTCGGATCATAGCCCGCAACCGTGCGTCCCATCTCGTAAAAGTAGCTTGATTTGAAGACGCCATTTTTCGAGCCGGCATACACGGTCGCTTGGTCCACACAGCGGAAATCTTTATCCGTGGCGACGCGCTGCGACACGTTGAAGGCGTCGAGCGTGAGGTTTCCCGTGTCGTAGAAGGGGAAGAGGCCGCTGTCGATGATGGATTGAGCGTAAGATGTGGATATACCGAGGGAAGTCGCGATGCCGGAGACTTCGGATGTGACGGGGGTGGACGGGTAGTTGGTGCCGATGGATGCGCCGTCGTTGGCAGTGATGCCGAAGATCACATCGACGTGAGCGGTGCTTCCATTGCGATTCACAAGGTCGAGTTCAGCTGTATTGACATAGTGACCATCCTGAACAACATAACGCGCCTCAGAGCCGACCGCAACCAAATCTAGAGCGGGCACATTCTTCAAACACGCAATTTGGGCAGATAAGCTAGACTGGTTACAACCCGCTGCTAGGAAAATGTTTTGGCCGGCGAGAGCATAGGATTCGGGGATGGTGAGATATGAGGAGTAGGTAGTTGCAGAGTCACCGGTAAGACCAAGGTCGACGCCACCACCCAGATTGGACATGGCGACTGCTCCTTGGAATTTGCCAATTGCGGGTGGCGAGCCCAGAAGTGTGCGGACAGATCCTGCACCAGCGGATTCTCCTATGATGGTGATTCTTTTTGGGTCCCCTCCAAAAGCAGCAATGTTCTTTACTGTCCACTGATATTGTATTAGCCCCCGTAAATGAACTGTAACAATTAGATGTGCTACTTTACCTCCAGAGCATTGATTTGGTCCGCAATCCCATAATTTCCCGTAACGTTCGTCCCAGGAATCGCCAGGAACCCCAAAACAGAAAGTCTATAATTAACATTCACCACAACAATATCCTCTCTACTCGCCAAATCCCCCCCATCACTCAACTGATCAGCACCACTACCCCCAACAAACCCACCACCATGGATCCAAAACATAACCGGCCTCAAATCCTTCGACGATTTCGCTTTGGGAATGTACGGAGTTTGGATGTTGAGAAACAAACAATCCTCGCTCCCACTCGAAGATTGTGGACACTGTGCACCATACGCGGTGGCTGGAATCGTTTTCCCAGTCGGCGAGTACGGGGTGGAATAGACGAATCGCTCAGCCGGATTCGCATACGGAATCCCGAGAAAGCGGAAAGATTTCTGGTTGCGGAATCCAATGTATGTATTCCCGCCCGCGGCAAGAGAAACCTCATTGGCGTTTGTAGCAACCGCGGTTCCGGGTTGACTTTCTTCGCTAGACTGTGTACAAAGAACCGGTAGTTTTGCATTACCAGAGGGAGACTTCGGGAAGCTCAATCCGTGAGCTGCATCGTAGGAAATAACTCCATTATCAATTATGTATAGCTGAGAAGACGACGAGCGACCACGATATGCTTGATATGAAAGCGGGAGGAGAAAATCAGATGTATGGCTCTTAATAGCGCTACTGCTGAGTAGCGTTTCATTCAACGCCTCACATGCTGCGGGTGCATCTTTAGGGGAGTGAGGATCCAGAAGAATAAAGCCCACGTGATTTACATCATCAGAAGCATTAAGATTATTCTGATACAAAAGCGTCAACGAGGTATCAGAATTCGAAAGTGCCGATACATGTTGGAATACCACAGAGACGAAGAAAGAAAGATATTGAAGACGTGAAAACACAAACATCGTGAGAAGCCTTAACCAACTCAACCCACGGGATAGCATCGCATCTTGTACCTCCCTAATCGCCTCTCCACATACTTAGCTTCATCGATTGTATTCAGCCAAGATCCTCCGTGAAAAGATTTTCGATTGTCGTAACCCAGTCTCCTCGACTCATTCTTCCCAGGAATATCATGGAATATAATCCGCTTCTCCACTCGCAGTCTTCTCGATGCAAGGTTAAACTGGAGATATACTTTATCCGGTCGTGCCGGTGTGTTAAAGATCAACCATTTGCGCGGGGTAACACGATGAAGTTCATCCAATTCCATTTCCCCGCTATTTACATTCAACCGGTGAAAAGTGGTTGACGGCTATTTGAATGAGCGATTCCGCAAGGAATCCCTAACATCGGAATAAACCTCCAAATTTTCACACCGCCAGAATTATCAATATATTAAAGTTATAAAGTCCGCCTCCGCAGCAGTAGCTTTCGGAGAGAGTATGAAACATCAATTTCTGTTTCGTCGATATATACCAGCCTTGAAATCCTGCTCACATAGCATAGCTTTGTATTTTGTTCTTGTTACATTGTCACAATTTTAAGTAAAGGTAAGAGAAGAGGTTGATGCTTACTCATCAAACTTGTTGTAGAAGGTTGGACTGCATTGTGGTCATGGAGGAGTATTCCAAGACCCAATCCAATTTACAAAGGAGTATCTCATTCATACTTCAATTCCCCTCAATTCATCACATGAAGCAAACACTACACAGTACACATTGAGCAGAAAATTCATATCCAGATATTCTTCTCATGCAGTGGTATTTTTAAGTCTAAATACATCATCTCCCCCCAATTCTCCCTCTCCACCATCTTTTTGGTATCACCAATATCGTATGGAACTTTGCATGCAAATGGTATCTCAACTCCACTCTCTCTATCTATGTCAAAAAATCGCCCAAAAAATGTCAAAAGTCGCAAGGACATATCATGATATCAGTAAGGCCTGCCTCCCCGCTACAATGTCCATGTCCCCGAACCCCCTTTCCCTCACAGTCTATCAAATCCGTCATGAAAATAGCAAAATTGCTGCGTCGAGAAAAGAATGCAAAAACGCAATAAAAACACAAAATCAAATCAAAAACAGCGTGTACATCTAGGCGAAGTGTCCTCCCCTCTTCTTGGCATGTTGATGCTCGTGCAAATGTCTTCTTCTGGCAACGCCACTTGCAGTTGCAGTCGCGGTAACAGTAATAGTAACATCTTCTTGGACCCAGACTACTTCATCAACTTCTACCTTTTCGTTAAGTGGGGAGATGGCGGTGGTTGTTGAGTAAGAGGTCGAATAGAAAGATGCCGACGAGGTAGTGAGAAGAGTAGTTGCTGAGCTTGAAATTGCTGCGGTTGCGTCTGCGGCGGCAGTAGATGAGCCAGAGTCTGAATATGAAACTCCGGATTCGACGGCTGCGAAAACACCACCTGGTACGTAGGTTTGTCCGAGAGAAGCGACTGTAAAACCGGAGGGTCAATAATTGCCTAACAGAGAAGATTTTTGGAGAACGGGAAGGTTGAAATTAGATTAGGAAATAGGAAATAGAACGCGTGCACAAAAAAAACGAAGGTGAGTGTTGACATCGAAAAACAAGATTAGGCATGATAGTTGTAATGATAATCATAAACAGTGAGATTAGTAGGCTTACCAATGGTTGATCCGGCCGAGTGGGAAAGAGTTGGGACGACGGCTGATGAGCTAGTTGTAGTAGTCGCGCTTGATCCTTTGCCAGATGAAATTCCATATGCTGCTGATGTTGTTTTGGCGGTAGTGGCTGCGCCAGCCATAGCTGGAGCTGGAGCGGGACCTGAGTGCACGGGGCAGTTTCCGGGAAGCGTCGCCATAGGTCCAACAACATCATCATTCTCCAAGGCCGATGGAAGTGTAAGGTTGCATGATCCATAAACACTTGCGTCCTGGATATCAAAGATTGCACAATCACTAATTTCTCCGGAAGGGTTTGTGCAGGTGTTGACAGCTTCTTGCAAAAATTCTTCATCCCAGCCCATGATGAAGTCTCCGTGGTATCCGTAACCAGTTGGGTCACCGTTAGACAGCACGAACTCTCCAGCAATACCGTTGAAGGCATAGGTATCCCAGATAGTTTCATAAAAGAGCGAGACGAGACGAGTATCGAACCCCTCTGGGCAAGTACCAGTCATGACTTGATCAGGATACGCCATGTGGGATTTTCCATCTGGTGCAGTTACTCCTGCGGTCTTATTCCAGCATGATGGGAACATGAGTTCCATTCGGACACCACTGACGCAGTTTGCATCAAGATAAGCCTTATCTGGCATGAAATGACGGTAAAGAGATCCTTCGGGTTCGTTTTTTGGATAGTTCAAGCAGTTGAAGCCAAGAGCAGCTTGTCGAAGGAAGTCTTGGGTGTCATATGGAGACGTGCTGGCCCAGGATGATTTGTCAACATCAGGAACAGCATAATCGGAGAAGTTACGGAGATCAGTATTTCCTGCAATCATAGCAAAGTCTCTGGGGAAAGCAGTTACATGGTCTCCATAGAGAAGGTAATACCTGTTGTAAAACGTTAGCCACATCATTTCCGGTCAGTTTCCAAGAAGCATATAGTAAAAGATCCGACTTACGCAAGCATACCCCCCACTTGTTCAACTAATTGGTACTGTCCAGTAGCATCATCACGGAAATAGAGTGAGGGAGTCCAGTATACAGATTTATCTTGAGAAACTTCACATGAAG